TATCGGAAACGGGATGGAGAAAAATGCCTATTCCAAAACGGCTAATGATGAATTTCTGAAAAAATCGAATGGAACTAATTCCTCACTTCAATGCGATTTTATCCAACGGTAAAACTAATTACAACTTGTATTTTTTATTGATGGCACCGAAAGCCAGATGTGCAAAAAGACTGCAAAGGCAGTAGTGAAAAAGGATGTCACGAACAGGAAAACTCAGTCCATTTTGCATTGCCTTGTAGCGCCGCTTTATCAATGTTGAGTCCATCGGACCACACCTGAAAATCCTTTATATCAGAGTCATCGTGAGGTGATAAGCAAAAGCCTTATAACGGCACAGGAATTCAATCAGCAATATATGCCTTTCCTTACTCGTGCGCTCACATCTAAATTGACTGGGTGAAGAAATATGACGCATGCGAATAAATGCTGGCTATTACTAGAATCCTACTAGAATCCAAAAACCTGAAATAATACTAACCGAGATTGGCAGTGCGGAGGTAAACCGCGTTGCAGTTTTAATTGAAATGTACAGTAAAATTTTTTCGTAATATTAATTAATTTTAAAATGATCTACAGACGACGCGCTTAAGTATAGCCGTCGAAACATGCATATATGTTATAAGTTGTTGACCTACAGTCAAGCACAAAAGCATCAGGTCTGAAAGTGTTGCCACATACGAGTGATTTATGATTACAACGAATACAAAAACGTTACTTACTAAATCAACGTGTCGAACCTCCAATCTATTCAACAGTTGGGTTAGTGCGGAAAATCAGCCGGTGGCTTTCACTCTCAACCGTTCGATACAGGACGCTACTGACTCCTGTGCTGAACTGGATGAAATATTGTTAAATCGTACGTAGTGAAACAGGCAGTAGTGCTGTTTTCTGCGACCTCTCATCGTAGTTTAAACTTATGCTGAAAAACATCCTCGTCGCTTGCACCAGAGAGGCACAAGTCCATGACTGTCCCATGTTTACTTCATTCTCTTTACAGATTGCTGTTAAATTCAAATAGTGATATCGAATTATGATTATGTAAACTGGACCGTCTTCATCATGATTTCTCTGCAATAGTCCTTAGGTTGACATTGATTTCTGTTATAACATCTCATTAGCACTTTTTGACCTGACCAGCTTCAAACGCATACTCTTCAATGATGCACTAGAAATCACAGACCTTCAAGTTCATAGTATTGAGGTCTTAATTCTATAGGGTAAAGCACTGATCTGAGGCAATGAATTTCGAGCAAGAGCTCATTCGTCATATCTAAAGCCGAAATCTATAACTGAAAAGGAATTATTCAATAAACACGCCTATACGTGTTCTAGAATATCAACCATTCGAATCAGCGCTGAGTCAGTTCTGACTTTCACTTGCTCAGGTTTCATCTATGCTGTGTTAAAAGATTGAACAAGAACAGAATGTCTGAATAAAGATGAACTCAATCAGCGCTAAGTAGTTTAAAGTTTCTGTTTTCCTCTCAGTAAATTTCTGGTGATAACTTTTCTCCTTCATTCATTCTGTTCAGCAACAAGATTTAAATGGCATGTAAAATTATACACTGTTGTGCACTTTGCTTCCACGGTTGACGAAACACCTTCGTCGTTCGCTCCTCCCAGCACGTAGGTAACGGCCGGATGGACTTCTGCTGCCAATGTCGATGCACATGGTAATTCCGGATATCCAAGTCTGTTGTCCTTCAGACGAGCCACATGGGCAGCCTTTCGTCTTCCCATTGTAATGGACAGTGAGTACATCCAAAAATCGTGTCCGCACCGATCTATCGCATTTAGAACATGACCTTGAATTGTGACGTTAGGTTATCTTGCGTGTTCTTGATTCTGTCGCCTTTTACTTTACTTGTATCTCTTCCTCATCCTCGGCGGAACACCGCACTCCGTTCCATAAACCTTGGTCGAATAACGGCTTAGTCGAACAGTTGTTTTTTGTTTGACGAATTTGACAATTTTATCCTCTTTCTGGCAGAGGTGAAATCAGTAGATGACCGTAGACGTCCATTTAGGATCTGAGGGTCGCGCCGGCATGCTTGCAATCGTCGATGTCAAGAAGACCATCAACATCGAAGGGTTCTACTCGCTTCTTTGCAACTATCTTTCCCGGTACGCCGTTCCAATTTTCATGCACTTCTGCCAGGATGAGGAAACGACCGGTCAGTGAAGTGGAGTCAAATTTTTATCTCTCACTTTCGTCCACTCTCTTAATCTTCCTGTGGCACCATTGATTTTCGATTTCAATGTCATTTTTTCAGTTTGACTTAGCGCTCCTTCGAAAGGAAAAGTTTACTTACATTAATATTGTGCAAGCTCGCGTAATGTGAATCAAATTTTGTGGGGCTTACTAGTCCTCATGGGCACCTAAGACCTGATTCCCTTAATTTTACACCTTATTCAAAGTGCATTTTAAGGTGAAGTAACTTCTCTCGATGTTTTTTTAATCATAAGCTTCTTCCGATGTTTCGGCTATCCTTTATCTCAGGTTAGCGCAAGTTGCCTGTGATTCTTGACTACTTATTATTTAACTGAGTAACCTTTTTAAATCCTTAGTTGGCGTTGCATTCATAACTTTCTCATTAAGATTTAAGTCAGTTGTCTGTACTATCAAGATAGTACATAGTCATCTATTTTGTGTTTTACTTATTTACAGTTTCAACCATATGACGACTTTTGGTCTTGTAACCATAGAGCTCACGCGTCAGACAGCATGGGCGTATGTTGGGCATAGGGTAAATACTCCAAGACGTCATGCATTTCCGTTTGTTCGCAATTCGACGACGTGCTGCCCGTTTTTCGGCTGGTTTCCTTGGAGCACCGTTGAGTGATTTTCCTTGTTCAAGAAAATTTGCTTTTATATATATATATATGCTATTCCATCATTCTGTATCGCCTTACTGCCATATTTCCTGTTGACGATTGAAACAGTGGCAATGTAAAGAAAATTTTCAGGCTTTTATGTGTTTGATCCATCAGC